ATTTGTAGCTTAGGTTCCCTGGGATTGCACTGCGGGCTAACTGTAGTAGCTGTGGTTGAAGTTGTTCTTGGCGGGCTCGATTCCTTTTGTTTTGGATGTTTAGTGCAGTTTCCCCTTGGAACGCATCTAAAATGACAACAACTAAGGGTTACCTCCTACGTAGCCTGAGAAAACTGCCGACATTTTTCGGCGTAGTTTCCCCGCGAAATGACGTTTGAAGAACAAGCGGAGAAATTCCATACTGATGACGTATCACTACCCAGACCTAGGTATTGCTTCTGATTGGTTTTTCCGGGAAGGAAATTTGCCTTAACAAATCAGAAGCACTATACATCTGGGTAATGACTCGTCATCAGTATGGAATTTGCCCTCTTGATCCTCAGACGCTATTTCCAACTTCGTTTAACGTTGTTTTACAACAATTCCCTTTAGACCATGTAAACTAACCGCTAGCCATCAAATTTTACTAAATTTGCTTTGTTTTACTTTGATTCCCTACCTTTGCTTTACATTACATCACTTCAACTCACCTCATTTTAATTAATCTTGCCTTATAGAAACTAAGACCAACCCTTTCTTCACACTTTACCTCCTTCACTTTATTTTATCCTATCCACTTTTCTTGATAACTAATACCAACATAAACTAGCTGTTCAGAGATCATACCCACCTTACTTTGCGGGGACAGAACTCTTTATCTTCAGGGCAATCGATGTTGGCGCGACAAATACCATTCTCTCTGGCATGAAACTGTCTACATTTCCTCAGACGATTTTCCAAACATGCAGAAAAGGTAACCCGAAGTTGGCACAGGGCCGCATAACCTACACGAAGGAAAAAAGTAATATGTGTCAAAAGTATGCCACCTGGTTGGCTCAGTTGGGAATGTGCGGGACGAGGGATGCAGAAAACCATCGGGATTACGGGTTTGAGCGAAAAGTTAAGTCCGGATGGAGGGATTAAACAACCCTATTGAGGACTATCAAATAACAGTGAATAACAGGTTCCAAAGCGATATATTTTTTGATACAATGTTCGTACCGGAAAATCAGTGTCTTCAATGCTATTGGAAAGCAAAGAACGTTCGGGATTCGGGATTCGG